GTCCCACTGGAGAATAATACCGTAAGATTTTTGGATAATTTTAGTGCCGGCACTCGCGGAGCCACCTCGGCTGAATATCCTTTTGAAGAAATTATCCTTGTTGCAGTCGAATTTTTTCCGATTACCCCTAACTCGGTCATTCAAAATTCAAACCCAATCCGGCCTCATCTTGACTATAAAAAAAAATGATTATTGAAACATTGTTTTTTTTTCATCCGAAATTCTCAATATACATATTTTCTTGAAATGGGATATGCGGTGATCTTCATGCACAGGCAATTTAGCCTACAGCCTTACAGCAGGCATTACACTCATTCCACAAATTGTTTCTTGGACTTCATGGAATTGAGAAATGATGGAATCATTGGAGGTAAGGATCATTTCATTTCATATGATCTACTTCCTTTTATTTTTATTTCATTTTATTTTGATCTCATTACCTTCATCCTCGGACCGATCTTTGATCAGTGAATCCCAACCATGCGCAAAAGATGAGATTAGTACTGGAAAAGTATAGACAGGCCAAAAAACACGAGGCACTTCTATTCATTGAATTCGTCACGGTGACGGATTACCTTTTTCTTCTTCGCAGTGTCACGAGCATCATGTCTGATTTGAATGAGCGTGCATTATATTACCTTGCTGCCGCTGTCAGTGATTTTTTCATTCCATCTCAAAAAATGGTAAAATCTCCCTTTCTAATTTCGATTGAGTTTCTGATAATCTGGTGTTGATGACCTTTATTTTTTACCATTTAGGCACAGCACAAAATTCAATCAGGCGAAGGTGCTTTAACTTTGAAGATGGATCAGGTTCCCAAGTTCTTAAAACCAATGGTTATGAATTGGGTTCCTCGTGGGTTTATTGTTTCATTCAAGGTGATTATTAAAATAAAATAAAATATATGTATGTACATATTATATCAACTTCTATTGACCATCTTTTTTCTTGACCCAACTAATGAACAGCTGGAGACCGACTCTAACCTTCTAGTCGATAAAGCTAGACACGCTCTCACTAGGTATGGTCATCAGATAGTTATTGGCAATCTCCTGGAAACTCGTAAGATTGAAGTAATCTTCATCACCAAAGACACAGAGTTTCAAATAAAGTTGTCTGATGATGAGATTGCAAG